ATTTTACTATTTATAAAAATAATTAAATTTAGTTGAAAAATTTTATTATTTATGGAAATAATTGAATTTTTCCGAAGAATTTTATTATTTATAAAAATAAGAAAAATAAAAAAAAATTTTAATTTTGAGTCTGAAATTATTCAATAACAATCAAAAATAATTTATTTTATTTTTATTTTACTTTAAATTATAAACTGTTTTACAAAGTTACAAAGGGTAAATTTAAAGTTTACAAAGGGTACCCTTTATAAGAAAAAAAAAATGATAAATAAAAATAAATAAAGTACATAATCGGTTAATTGAATCAAATTTAATTTTGTTTTCAGTGTATTTATTAGAATTTTTGTGTAATTTTTTTAGAATTTATTTTTTATTTCTCAAAATTTGTTCAATTTTCTTGGATAAGTACAAAAAATACTAGTAACAAATATCTTAAAATTGTGTTTTCCGCTTTGATTGAGATAGGCTCTTTCTCTCTTTATCGATTTTCTGTCCATTTGTCCGAATAGCTCAAAGAATTGAATTACTTCTCGTTTAATAGTTTTATTAAACTAGCTTTGCTCTATAATAATTACTCTAAATCTAAAATGTTTTCTCTTTGTATAATTTTGTTTGAAACTTCATTTTCAGAACGTAAAATAAGTAATTAAAATTATCCCTTTTTTCCTTCTTTCAAATAAATTTATTATAAATTTATTGCTGCTCTTTTCCATATCAATGATTTGTTGAAAAAAGATATTTAGAAATCAAAATTTATTTCTGTAATTTGAAATTTTTTTCTCAAAAATTAAAAAATTCTCTTAAATTTGCAATTTTTAAATGTATTTTCTAATCAATTAAATTTGCAATTGATGTTTAATTTTCTATGAATTTTCTATTGATTTTTAACGAATTTAAATTTAAATTACTTTTTAACGAATTTAATTTTCAATTAATTTTGAATGAATTATTTTTTAATTACAATGAAAAATTAATGTTGAAAAACTTCTTGATGTTCTATGTTTATACTCTGAAAACAAAAAAATTCGTATGTTTGTCAAAGAGGAAAAAAAGTTTGCAATTTTTATTGCATCAAAGTTTAATGATTTTCTATAGAGAAATAATATTTTTTTTTTTTTTTTTGTTAATAATAAAGTTGTAGGTCAATTTTATCGATATCGGTAAAAAATTGATGACTTTTATCCGTGACATTTAAACATTTTTTTTCTCTTTAAATTCAATTGACAAATATTGAAAATGAAAACAATAGAAAATAGAAACAAGTTTTTTGGTACCATTTTCAACAATAAATATTTATTGTTTTTTACATGAGGTACAGAATAAATAATTTTATAAAAAATAGAAATCTTACAAAGATAGAGAATGCACAATCAAACTTGAAATATCCCATACACAGAATTCATACTATCACTATTATTATTATTATTATTATTATTATTATTATTATTATTATTATTATTATTATTATTATTATTATTATTATTATTATTATTATTATTATTATTATTATTATTATTACTATTATTATTTATAGAAAAGTATTTCATATGACATTTAAAATCTACTCACAAGTACAACCTGAATTTTTTTTCTATGAGCTAAAAATAACCTATTTATTTACAAAATTGACGGGGTAAAACCGTATCTCAAAAAGTTTTACATTTACACTTTTTATCAAAGAGAATTACACTTAGAAAATATTATTTAAAAAAATCTAAATTCTAATATGTATACGATCACAAAAAAGTCTGTAGTTGAATTCAAAATTTATGTAAGACTTTTTTTTATCAAAAATAGCTCTGCCATTTTTTTAAATTTTATTTCTATTCGTAATTTAAGAGAATTTGAGCATCTTATTAATTATATTGACAAAGCCATTAAATTTAATTTTAAAAACTAAAAACACAAAAAAATATAACCAGAAAAAAGAAATATTTGACTCAGGTGAGCTAACTGGACTTTTTATTTGTTTCAAATCAATTTTATTTGGTTTAAAAATAAAATTTTATTTGGTTCAAAGAAAAGTTTTATTTATGTCGAATAAAATTTTATTTGGCTCACAAAAAAAAGTTTTATTTAAAATGTCGAATAAAATTTTTGTTTTTAACGAAATAAATAATCTTGTTGGCTCTGAGACAAACATACTTTTTTTATTTAACCCAAATAAATTATATTTGGTTTAAATAAAATTTTTCTTCTGGATGTAAATTTTCAATTACCTACTGATTAAAAATGTGCATTGAACATAAATTTTGATTTACGAATATTTGTCAATTTTTTTTTCTCTTCGGGAAATAAAATTGTTTTCGTATTGTCATTTTAAGTAAGAAACTTTGTTTTTTTTTGGACAATACTGCTTTTTATCATTGGGCACTTGTTTGATGAATTTACGTGAGGGTTATCGACTTTTTTTTGGCAAGGATTTATTTAATCGGAAATAATTTTGAAATTATGGAATAATTTTACGATCACAATTAAATACGAAATAGTGAATATTTCGAGAATTCCATTAGTCAATAATTATATTTTATTAATTAATTAATATAGATTAATATTTAGTAGGATTCATTACCTAATATTAATTTTAATTTAAATTATTTGATATTTATATTTATAATAGTATTAATTAGTTAATAGTATTTAGATTCTTCTCTGAAATTCAATTATTTTCCAAAATTTTAATCAAATTCTTGGAAAAATTTCAATAATTTTCAAAAGTTTTCTCAAATTCAATGATTTTCAATATCTACTATTTTAAAAAAAATTTCCAAAAGAATTCCATTATTAATAAAAATTTGAATAAAATTCTACGCAAACAGTCAATTATTTTAGAAAAATATTTTAGATTTTTATTTTTAATTTTAGAAATTATTTTTTTATAGAAATAAAACTCATTGCAGAATTCTAATTATTTTTAATGCAATTTTAATCGAATTCCTCGAAAAATGTAATATTATTCTTAAAAATTTTATTAAAATTCGTCTAAAGAATTTAATTATTTAAAAATTTGTTGATAACATTTTTTATGGGAATTTAATTTTAAGAAACATTAAATTAATAAATGATTTATTTTCGTATTTAAATAATTGAATTCTCGTAGAATTTACTAATAAAAATTGTTTTAAAAATGAAGTTCAGTTCCAATTTTAGATTATAATTAAATATTAAAAGCATTATAGCGTGAATATTTAGAAATAATTGAATTTTGAAATTAATTTTTTTGAAATTTTTATTTTCTAATATATATTTAATGAAGAATTTCTGAATAATTGAAATTTTGTAGAATTGAATTGTAAACAAATGAATTTGAAAATTCTCAAAGAACTTTTTCAAAAATTATTAAAAATAATTGATTTATAGAAGAATTTCAGGTAAAAACACTAGAAAAAAAATTTAATTTTGGAGAAGTTACAAATTATTGCAGAAATTCAATTATTTTCAAGAGTAATAAAATTCTTTTTAAGGATTCAATTATTTTTACTAATAATAAAACTCATCACAGAATTTCAATTATTTTTCGTACAATTTTAATTGAATTCCTTGAAAAAAGTAATTATTTCTAAGCAAATTTTAATAAAATTCGACAAAAGAATTCAATTATTTAAAAATTTATTGATAAAATTCTTTATGAGAATTCAATTTTGAGAAACATTCAATTATTCAATAAATTATTAATTTTTGTATTTAAATAATGGAATTCTCATAGAATTTTCTAAAAAAAATTGATTTAAAAATGAATTTCAGTTAAAATTTTAGATTATAATTGAATATTAAAAGCAATTTAGCGTGAATTTTTAGAAATAATTGAATTTTGAAATTAATTCACTGGTTCGAGCCCTGTATTATTATTAATTTTGATTAGTTATAATATTAATATTAATTAGCTAATATTATTATAATAATATCAATATTAAATTAGAAACAAATTTAAATGATAAAGAATGTTTTGAAATTAAATCTATTTTAACTGTAAATAAATTTTCTATTAATTTATTTTATTTATTACCTATTAATTAATTAATTAATTTATTTATTTATTAAATTGTCTATTAAACTAATTGATTAATTTAATTCTCAATTGGATTGATAATTAAATTTTAATCTAAACTACATAAATGTTTCTTAAATTCTCTTTTAAAGTCTTTTTTCTTTTGTTTAATAATTGTGACCGTTGAATTATTTATTGTTAAATTAAATAAACATTTGTATAAATTAGATTAGTTGAAATTAATTTACTTTCAGTTCGAGAAAATCGAAGACTAGTATTTTTTTCTTTTAGAAAATATAAGGGAATGTATATTATTAAACTCCTCACAAAAATGGACAATTTCTCTCTAAAAGCAAAATATTGCTTTTTCAATTGTCCAATTATTGTTTTTGGTGTATTTTGTTGGCTTATATTTTATAAACAGGGAATATTTAAAAAAACGCTTTTCTTAAAAAATACATTTGGCTCTATTCCTCCAGTACTTAAGTTCCTTTAAAAACCTCAGCTCCATAAAACAGTTTTTTAAAGAGAAAAAACTCGGGGAACTCTACTTTACGATTTTTTTTTCAATGAAAAATTAATTTTTTGATTTTAATATCAATGAATATTAATATTAGGAATATTAGTGATGATTTTTAAAGTGGTTGCAAAATGAATATTATTTGGAAATATGTTTTTTAATATAGAAATTACGTAAACGAAATGAATTGATATTTATTTTTTTAATAATGAAATTTTTTTTGCGAAAATATCAGCAATTTTAATATTGAAATATTATTCATTAAACTAATTGTTTTGTTTAATTATTAATATTTCCATTATGTAATTAGTTTAAGTTTTCAATTTTTCATTTCAATTTCAGTAATTTGAAATGAATAAAATTAATGAAATTAATGAAAAAATGAAAATCAAAAAATAAAAGAATAATTTTTAATATTTAAATATTTATAATTGCAAATATTTTTGAAAAAAAATATAATAAAAAAAAACTAAATTTTAATAATACTTTGTTATCAAAATTGATGGTAATAATTAAATATTAATTTTAAAATTTCATTTGCTTATAGCAAATGAAAGTAAATTAAATGAAACCAATTGTCAACTACTCATTGAAATAAAAACGTAAAGAAGAGTTTAAATAGTGACGTATTTCCGATGGAAAATATTATCAATAAATAATTTTTTTGTCCTGAATGGAAAAAGTTTTTGTCTTTTTTTTCTAAACGTTAAACGTATCTTCGATTCTTTGGTGTTTTTGTGCATCTTCTCCTGCCGAAAATGGCAATAATACAAACTAATATTGTCGCCACGAGAACGGCGCCCACCGCATAAACGGCTTTATTTGTTGGCTTTGGTTTGTTTTCATCTTTTTTCTCCGTATCATCGAGAATTTCTAAATTGTAAATTTTTGCTTTCGTAGCCTCTGTAGGTGGAATTTCTGATTCTGTGGATATTTTCAGAGAAGCAGCCTTCTTTCCTTTCTTTGTAATTGTTTTTGCGGTTGTGGTTGTAGTGGTTGTTGTTGTAGTCGTTGTTGTTGTTGTCGTCGTTGGAGTAAGAATTTTTTCTCGATACTCTGCCTCTTGTTTTTCAAAATCACTCTGTTTGTTTATCGGTAATGGAAAATTGATATTGCCTTGCTCCTTTAGAAAATTATCGAAAAATGAAAAATACGACGTTAATGAATACGTTGAGACTTCGTCGATTTCATTTTCGGTTAAATTTATTAACGATTCTAACCAATTTTCTTGACTAGAGTTGACGGCAATTTTTCTGCAAAGGAAACAGAAATTTTTAGAAGTAGTTTTTTTTAAGAAGTTAAATAAAAAAAGGGTTTAAATAAAGACGATTTTTTTTATGGAAAGTCATTTAAAATTGTATTGAAAATAATTGAATTCTTGAGAAGAATTTTTTTATGTAAAAAAATTTAATTCTTGCGAAGAATGTTACTATTTTATAAAAATAATTGAAACGTTTCGAATAATTTTATTAAAATTGTATTGAAAATAATTGAATTTTTGAGAAGAATTTTTTTATGTAAAAAATTTCATTCTTACGAAGAATTTTACTATTTTATAAAAATAATTGAATCTTTTCGAAGATTTTTATTAAAATTATATTGAAAATAATTGAATTCCTGCGATGAATTTTACTATTTATAAACATAATTGAATCGTTTCGAAGATTTTTATTAAAATTGAATTGAAAATAATTGAATTCCTGAGAAGAATTTTTTTTTACTATTTATAAAAATAATTTAATTTTTCCGAAGAATTTTATTATTTATGAAAATAATTGAATTCTTACGAAGTATTTTATTAGACTTTTTAAAAATAATAAACAATAATAATTAATTAGTAAATTAGTTAATAATTGAATTTTTTGAAATTTTGAATCTAAAATTATTCAAAAATTAAAGTTGATTTAAAAAATTTGGTAATTTGCATAATAATACTAATAAATCGAATATCGCGTTTCGCGCGCCTAATATTTGCTAATTATTTAATAAAAAAGTAATTAAAGAAAATAGAAATATAATAAATATAATTAAATAAAAAAATATATAATGAAACTTACGCAAAAAGATGATTGACACTAATTGGAGTAAATTTTAATTCCAGGCCTGAATGAAATTGGTTGTACAATTGGAAAGCGAGAAGAGTCCCAATAAATTTTCTGTAAGTAAGCAAATTTTTTTCCATATTTAGTTTTTCTATTAAAATTTGGTATTTCTATTTGCTTTTGCTGTGTGGACTTTTTTAAAAATCATTAGTTTAATATTGTTAAAATTAATATTTTAAAAAAATTTTCTTGAAAAAATAGGGTTGCCACAAGTTCAGGAAAATCATGAAAGAGTTACGAAATTTTACCAAAAATGCTGGAAAAAGTATTAAATTTCTAGAATTGATAAAAAAATTCTGATTTTGATGACAACTTTTGAAAATATTAGAAGCATTTAATTCCATTTCTGTTGAAAAATATTTGAAAAAAATGTTTTTTGTTCGACTTATAAAATTTGAAGTCAGAACGAATTTTAATACAAAACATACTTTTTCTAATTCTAACAATAATTAAGTTTTAATGAATATTAAATTTTTATTCTTAATAATTTAATTCTTGAAAATCTTTCAAAGATTTTATTATTTTCTGTTCGAAATAAATTTTTTCCTTCAATTATTGATCGTAAATGTTGTGAATTTTACTAAAGTGATTTTTGGAATTGTTGTGATTTCAATTTTTTTATAAATAATTTAATTTCAGAAATCAATTTTTCATCTGGAAATCAGGGAAAATGAAAATCCAATTTTTGTGGCAACCCTGAAAAAAAATTACAAAAAAGTCACTTACGAAAGATAAGGTTTGTTGCTCGTGATAAATTCATCATCTAAAAATGATGGAATTTCCTCTTGATTCGTTGTTACAATCTCGTATTCTAATCTGAAAGGAAGAATAGAAAATTATTTTCAAAAGCAAAATTCAACGAAAGGAAAATTTTTAAAATTGAAAAATACCTATGTTTCCACCATGACAATGCGAGTTCCTTTGTATCGGTGATATTTTCTTTTAAAACTTTCAATCGCCAAAAGTCTGCCGAGACATAGTAGGCCAATCGAGGTAAAATATTTAACATCGAAACTATTCTCAAGTTTTCGGCTAAATCTTCATTCGACTCCCAAATTTCTTTTTCCACCAATCCAGTTGTTTGCAACCAAATTGGACTCATTGACATTAAACCAAAATACTCGGCGAAACTTTCCTCTAAAACTACATTGATCAAATGAAAAAACTAATTAGTCATTTGTCTGTATATTTGAAAAGTTTATTTTTTTTAATTAAAAAATTTTTTTTATTTAAAAAATTAATTTTATATTTTACAATAAATAATTTTGAATGATTTTATTATTCATGGGAATGTTAAAGTTGATGCGATTTTTCTACTGAAGCTTTGTGTAAAAAATTAAAAATCCCATCGATTTTGACAATCCCTTTAAAATAAATAATTCAAAAAAATTTTATTTGAATAAAAAAATTAAAAATAATTTGATTTTTTTTTAATATAAATAGTTTTAAATAATTTTATTCTTTAGAATAAATAATTTTGAATAATTTTAGTTTTTATAATGAATAAATTTCGAATAATTTTATTCTTTACAATAAATAATTTAAAATTAATTTAATTCTTTAGAATGAATAATTTCAAATAATTTCAAAATTAAGTTACTGTAGTCATACCGGAAAATCGATTGGAAATCTCGAAAATTGGATTCGATGATCTAGACGCCAATTGATTGAATAGAATTTTCCCCACGTTTTTATGGGCCATTATGTAATTTGAAAGAGACGCTTCATAGCAAGTAAAAACTCTGTAAAATAAGTAGAAAAAAAAATTCAGAATTTTGATAAACTTCTATTTAATTTTCATAATTAGATGATAATAATAATAATAATAAATCACCTCATTCTTCCCTCTCGACAAAAGTTAACGATTCTTGTCGGACATGTCCTGTTGAATTCACTGTTTTCCCAAAAATTTGCCTCTGGTGAAATTTTTAACATTGATACGCCCAATTGCGATGCAACTTTATACAAATTTTCTCCATATAAATTCTGGAAAAGGAATTTAAAAAAATTTTGTTCAACGTTAAAAAACAAAATTATAAATTAAAAGAAAACTAAAATTAAAAACAAATTAGATTAAAAGTTAAATAGAAAGAAAATTATTTTTTTTAAAAAGTACAACGAAAAGACTTTTATTTTGTTCTGGAAATAAAAGACGACGCACCTTTTTCCACATGTTTCCTTTTATTCTGAAAATTTGATCAGTGTGAGGAATGATGTCTGTCATGAGATTTGTCCAATCATTGCCTTGTAACGAACCTTAGGAAAGAAATTTTTTTCGTTATTATTTACTTTTTTTTTGTTAAAACAATAAGGGAATTTTTCAATTTTCTCAGTGGTGGAATTCTAATATTGGACAATTTTTAATTACAAAATATTTAATATTATCAAAAATTATTTTTTCAAATTTCCATTTATTCTAATATTATTTAGTAACAAACCTTGGCGAACAAGTTTTTTTTTATTGATATTTAGATTTTTGTATTAAAATTCTTTAAAATAATTGAATATTGTTTTGAAGAATTTATTTCAATTTTCTTGGAAATAATAGAGTTTTTTTTTTAAATAATTTTTACTGAAAATTTTGAAAGTCATTGAATTTTATGAAGAATTTCTTTTAAGTTTTTTTTAAATAATTGTGTTTATTATTAACTGTAATTAATAATTTTCCTATTAAATTATATTAAAATTATTCATAAAAAATTAAATTCTTTTAAACAGTTTTGTTAGAGTTTAGTTACATTTTTTTTGAAGAATTTCATTACATTTCGTAAAAATAATGCCATTTTTTAAAAAATAATTTTAATTGAAAATTTTGAAAATAATTGAAATTAACAAAAAATTTTATTAAAAACCTTTGTGAATAATTAAATTGTTCAGAAAAGTTTTATTACAATTTTTAAAAATAATTGAACTTATTAGAGAAATTTTATTATAATTATCTTGAATATAATTAAATTTTTTTCTAGAAATTTTATTAAAATTGTAGTGAAAATATTAAAATAATTAAATTTCTCAGAAGAATTTTATTATTTATAAAAATAATTTAATTCTTGACAGGAATTTTACAATTTATAAAAAGAATTGAATTTTTTCGAACAATTTTATCAGAATTGTTGAAAATAATTAAATTTAAATAATATTAAAATAATAATTGAATTCTTTTGAGAAATTTTATTGAAATCGTATTAAAAATAATTGAATTTCTTCAAAACATTTTATTATTTATGAAAATAATGGAATTCCTTTGAAGAATTTTCTTATTTATGAAAATAATTGAATTCTTGTGGAAGAATTTACAATTCATAAAAATAATTTAATTTTTTCGAAGAATATTATCTGAATTTTTGGAAAGAAATTTTATTAAAAATTTTGAACATAATGATTTTTTAAAAGGAATTTCATCAAAATTATTGAAAATAATTGAATTTGTATTAAAATTCCTGAAAATAATTTAATTCCTTTGAAGAATTTTATTATTTATGAAAATATTTTAATTTTTAAGAAGAATTTTATTATTTATTAAAATAATTGAATTCTTGTGGAAGATTTTACAATTCATAAAAATAATTGAATTGTTTCGAAGAATTTTAGCTAAATTTTTTAATATAATTGAATTTTTTGAAAGAAATTTTATTAAAAATTTTTGAAAATAATGATTTTTTACAAACAATTTCATCAAAATTATTGAAAATAATTGAATTTGTATTAAAACTCTTGAAAATAATCGAATTTAATTAATATTTTTAAAAATAATTGTATTCTTTCGAAAAAATTTATTAAAATTGTATTAAATTGCTCTAAAGAATTTTATTATTTATGAGAATGATAAAATTGTTGCGAAAAATTTTATTAAAATTTTTGAATAGTAGTAAACAAGAATATTTAATTTTATGTACTTAATAAGTGAATTCTTTAAATTCTAAATAGAATAGAATAGGATAAAAATAGAAGATTTTTAATTACTACACGTGGCTCTATTTATTTTGATTATATATATACTCATTATTTCATTTTGATCTCAAATTTACGGTGTTGTTTCTCTGTCATTCACTTTTATATATTACTAGCCAAACTATCCGCGCGCAAGCGCGCGGGAATGTTGTATGGGGCTGCTTATTTTAAACAATTTAAAAAATTTTAAAGAAATAATTATTATAACCTAACAAAGAGATTTAAGGTATTAGTCGCGTAAAATGGTTTTCGTCAGATTTTTTTCAAATTTTGCATACTTATTCCTGAAGTATTTATCTACAGAATGAGACCAATTCCATTAATTTTGACCGTTTCAAAGCTTCAAAAAATTAATTCAAAGTTCATACATTTTGCATGGAGGAAGCACCCAATGCATGTATTAATTTTGTTTAATAATTATTTATATGATAACTAATCGTCAGATTTTGAAATAAAACTACCAAAGTATTCAATTAGATGAAACAAGTGAATAGAAAAAACATGACATTTTTTGACCGCACCAAACTATAAATATATTGATAGAAAGTTAAAAAAATAACTAAATTATACGAATTTTCATACGAACGAATAGAGTAGGGAGTTAAACTGTCTCTCTCTCTCTCACTCTCACTGCCCCACTCTAGTAAGCGGCCCGGTAAACCTTTGGCCAGAGCCAGCAGCGCGACTACTACCTTAACTAACTAAAATTCAAATAATTTCACTCAATGGTCTCAATTTAAATAGAATTTACATTACTAGACTTAAACTATGGCTAGAACAATTACAATTAGTATCTGGGTCATCTTTTGCATTGCTTATTTTATAAAGCCATTTTAAATTAAATACTTTTTAAAGAAATAATAATTATTACACACTGAAAAAAGTTTTACTTGAAATAGCGATAAGTTTCTCTAGAATAACGAAAGTATTAATTGAAGCACTGAAAAATTTCGCTACTAAAGTGAAATCTGTAGTTCATCCAGCTAAATATTTTTTGCCGTGCATAACGAAAAAAGAATTAAATTAACATCAGATTTTCTACATTAAAAAAAAAAGAATTCAAATAGAAATTAATCATTTTACAACTTAACCAAATTCACCCCAGAAATCACTGAATTCGATAATTTAGAAGAAAGTCAGACAAAAGCAGGGTTCCTACAGAATCTGGAAATCATGGAAATGGTATGGAATTTTTAAAAGGCTTCTGGAAATCAGGGAAATCATGGAAAAGGCCTGTAATTTTTAAAAAATTCTAAATTTTTTCAGTTTTCCATTTTTTCTCTTGAATAAAAATTCAAATAATAATAAAGCTAAATGGTATAAAAGAGAAAAAAAATGTTGAATTTTAAGAAATTCAATTTTTCGGATTTTTGATAATTTTTAATAATTTTTTATTTTTTTCCAAAGAGTCGAGACAATTTAATAAGTAAAGTATTTTCCAAAAGCACAAAAATAATGAAGCTAAATCCCATAAAAGAGAAGAAAAAATGTTGAATGTTAAGAAAATCGGATTTTTGAATTTTTTCCAATTTTTGATAATTTTAGATTTTTTACCAAAGAGTCGAGACAATTTAATAAGTAAAGTATTTTCCAAAAGCACAAAAATAATGAAGCTAAATCCCATAAAAGAGAAGAAAAAATGTTGAATTTTAAGAAAAACGGATTTTTGAAATTTTTCGAATTTTTGATAATTTTAGATTTTTTACTAAAGAGTCGAGACAATTTAATAAGTAAAGTATTTTCCAAAAGCACAAAAATAATGAAGCTAAATCCCGTAAAAGATAAGAAAAAATGTTGAATTTTAAGAAAATCGGATTTTTAAATTTTTGATAATTTTCGATAATTTTAGATTTGTTACCAAAGAGTCGAGACAATTTAATATGTAAAGTATTTTCCAAAAGCACAAAAATAATGAAGCTAAATCCCATAAAAGAGAAGAAAAAATGTTGAATTTTAAGAAAATCGGATTTTTGAATTTTTTCGAATTTTTGATAATTTTAGATTTTTTACCAAAGAGTCGAGACAATTTAATAAGTAAAGTATTTTCCAAAAGCACAAAAATAATGAAGCTAAATCCCGTAAAAGAGAAGAAAAAATGTTGAGTTTTAAGAAAATCAAATTTTTGAATTTTTTCGAATTTTTGATAATTTTAGATTTTTTACCAAAGAGTCGAGACAATTTAATAATTAAAGTATTTTCCAAAAGCACAAAAATAATGAAGCTAAATCCTATAAAAGAGAGGAAAAAATGTTGAATTTTAAGAAAAACGGATTTTTGAAATTTTTCGAATTTTTGATAATTTTAGATTTTTTACCAAAGAGTCGAGACAATTTAATAAGTAAAGTATTTTTCAAAAGCACAAAAATAATGAAGCTAAATCCCGTAAAAGAGAAGAAAAAATGTTGAGTTTTAAGAAAATCGGATTTTTAAATTTTTGATAATTTTCGATAATTTTAGATTTGTTACCGAAGAGTCGAGACAATTTAATAAGTAAAGTATTTTCCAAAAGCACAAAAATAATGAAGCTAAATCCCGTAAAAGAGAAGAAAAAATGTTGAATTTTAAGAAAATCGGATTTTTAAATTTTTGATAATTTTCGATAATTTTAGATTTGTTACCAAAGAGTCGAGACAATTTAATATGTAAAGTATTTTTTAAAAGCACAAAAATAATGAAGCTAAATCCCATAAAAGAGAAGAAAAAATGTTGAATTTTAAGAAAATCGGATTTTTGAATTTTTTCGAATTTTTGATAATTTTAGATTTTTTACCAAAGAGTCGAGACAATTTAATAAGTAAAGTATTTTCCAAAAGCACAAAAATAATGAAGCTAAATCCCGTAAAAGAGAAGAAAAAATGTTGAATTTTAAGAAAATCGGATTTTTGAATTTTTTCGAATTTTTGATAATTTTAGATTTTTTACCAAAGAGTCGAGACTATTAAATAAGTAAAGTATTTTCCAAAAGCACAAAAATAATGAAGCTAAATCCCATAAAAGAGAGGAAAGAATGTTAAATTTTAAGAAATTCGGATTTTTGAATTTTTGATAATTTTTGATAATTTTAGATTTTTTACCAAAGAGTCGAGACAATTTAATAAGTAAAGTATTTTCCACATTAAAAAGTTTGACATTAAAAAATATATAAAAAATGCCAATACTTAACCCACAAAATTAAATTTTCAAAACAAACAAATGAATGCAGATAATTTGCTAACGGAAAGGAAACTTACGATTATTATAATGTATGTATATGTATATGTATATTTCTATTTTCTATCAAAACGTATAAAAAACAAAAGAATAACTATAACTAACTTCAAGTGTGGACAGAGATCCGGAAATCTGGAATCACGACGATTATTATATATAATTATTCAGTATGTCTCTAAGTTTTATTATTACCTTTAGTAAATAAAAGCTTACCTAACAAATGTGTAGGAACGGATTTATTTAACGAAATTTTGTACTTTGCAGATAAGCGATCAGACACCAAATTGACGAGAGACTTGTGTAGATTGGAAATTTCATCCCAATAGGATTTCAAATCATCATAACCATCAGGATATGCGGATAACAACTCCCAGTAAGTTTGAGCATTTGTTTCATCTGAAATTATAATCTTATATCAGTTAAACACAAAATTATAAAATTTAAAAAATAAAATCATTTCTATCCGCGAACGCAATGAATAAACATAAAATTTCGCTGGTTCTGAACATAAATTTAATGAGTAAATAAATTAAAGTTAATAAATTATTTCACTTTTCTATATTTTGGATAAATTGTAGGTAATTATTTATAAATAGTAGTCATAATCACAGTATGGATAAATAATTATCGTGCCATGTTTTTTTTCCAGATATATAAAGTGAAAATGAAGTTACGTCGGAATAAGGACCAGGCAATTTTGACCATAACATTCAGTGACCGGTGAGTCTTTTTTTATTATAATTAACTCTTTACTAATAAAGATTTTTAATTAATTTAATTAATTAATTTAGATAATTTATTTTTTATAAAATTAACTATCGAGCGATGTAAAAGAAATTAGTAAGTACTCCCGTAAATTAGCATTGACTTTAAAAAAATTCAGTAATCGTTGCCAAACTACAGGAGAACTAAATATTTAGTATTCTGTTCTGTTTTTCAGATTTAATTTTTCTCCATAAAACATAAAAAATTGTCAAATAATTAAATTTTCTCGGAGGAACAGAACGATTTTTTTTTAAATTGTTAACAATTTCAAATTTTATAAGAGGTCAATTACTAAAGTCAGTTTAATCGATTGTGATTGATAGGTTAAATATTTAATCATCGGTTAACTTTAAGCCAAGGTTGATAAGTTTTTAGAAAATATAACAATATATTTTATATTTTCTTCATGTACTAAATATGTATTAAATTAAAATTAATGTTGCTTCTTTTGTCTTTAAAAGTTGTATTTTATTGCAAGTCGGGTTTTTCTATTTTCTCTAATAAACAAAAATTATTTTAATTTAGTTAACAATTTAGTTGACATAAAATAAATTTTATCCTATTTACGTACTGTTATTTTTAATTTAAAATACGGTTGACACAAAAAATTTATTTTCTTTGATTTGCAAATAGAATATTTTATTTAATTTAATGAATTTTAATTAATTTTTCATAGCTTTAATAATTTTTTAAAATAAAAATTCAAATTATTATTATTTTTCTAGAGGAATTAAGATTTTCAAAAATTGTAAATTTAAAACCTTCTGAAATTAAATTATTTATGAAAAAAGCAGGGCTCGAACTAGGTTCGTAAATTTGCTTCAAGTCCGTAAACATAAAATTTTCTGACTTTTCTCTGATTTTTTTTTATCAATTCTGAATTTCATTATTTTTCTGACCTGTGAAAACTCTGGTTAAATTAAAAAAACTTTGAGAAAAAATATTTTTGTGAATTGAAATTTCAATAAGTAAATATAGAAAAGTTTTTGAACAAAATCTAAATTATAAAAAAGGATTTACAGACTATTAATTTGAGCTGCTTCATTGACAAGAGGTAAAATTTTCGAAAAATTTGTTTGCAAAGGTGCCAAATGATTGTGCCAACTAGACCAGACATCTAATTTTTCTTTTGCTTCTCCGCTGCGTGACAATAAATTTTCCGCAACTGAAATATCAATAAGGAATTATTTATGTTTTTTTTTCAATTTCAATTTCAAATTTTTTTTTTTTAAATTAAATTTTTTTTTTTTTGAATTATCAACAATAATGGCTATAGTTGAAAAAAGAATAATTAAATAGTAAATACCTTCTCGCGATAATTTGCCTGAAATTTCAACTTTGTTTCTCATTAATTCTGCAGTTGCAATAAAATGACTGAACTGAAAGAAAAATTCTTTATCTTAGTTATCAGTAACTTTGGGTAAAATTAAAATTTAAAAACAATAAAACTTACATTTTTCCAATTTTCTTTGTTTATTATTGCGTCGCCTGGTTTTTGTAATAATTTCATTTGCGTATGAAAATTATGCCTCTTCTCGTTAATGAATTCTGCCGTTTCATTTTTTTCGTGTTCTTTTACAAAGTTGTTTTCGAATAGTGCCTCTTCCTGTAATTTTGCAAAAATTATTTTACTAGCAAATGTTGCGCGCGGAACGCGATATTCCTTTTCTTTTTATTTTGTAAATTAAAAAATTTTATATTTTCGAGAATAAACATAATAAAATATTCTTGTATATTATTACTATTCAAAAATTTTAATAAAATTTGTCGCAAGAAATTAATTATTCTCATGAATAATAAAATTCTTTAGAGCAATTCAATTATTTTCAATACAATTTTAATAAAATTTCTCGAAAGAATACAATTATTTTTAAAAATATTAATTAAATTTGATTCTTTCCAAGAATTTTAATATAAATTCAATTATTTTCAACAATTTTGATGAAATTCTTTTTAAAAAATCGTTATTTTCAAAATTTTTAATAAAATTCCTTCAAAAAAATTTAATTATTTTCAAAAATTCAGATAAAATTCTTCGAAACAATTTAATTATTTTTATGAATTGGAAAATCCTCCTTAAGAATTCAATTATTTTCATAAATAAGAAAATTCTTCGCAAAAATTCAATTATTTTAATAAATAATAAAATTATTCTGAGAAATTCAATTATTTTCAATACAATTTTAATTAATTATCTAGGAAAAACTTCAATTATATTTAAGATAATTTTAATAACATTTCTTAGAACAAGTTCAATTATTTTTAAAAATTGTAATAAAATTTTTCTAAACAATTCAATTGTTCTCAAAAGTTTTAAATTAAATTCTTTGCAAATTTCAATTATTATCAAAATTTTCAATTAAAATTATTTACAAAAAAATGACATTATTTTTACGAAATGTAATTAAATTCTTTATTCTCTCGAAAGAATTCAGTTATTGAAAAAAATGTTGATAAAATTCTTGAAATGAATTTAATTATTTTCAAATTTTTTTTATAAATTCCTTCCAAAGAATTCAATGATTTTCAGTAAATCAACAATTTAATTATTTCGCAAAATAATTCATTCTTGAAATGAATTCAATTATTTTCAAATTTTTTTTACAAATTCCTTCCAAAGAATTCAATGATTTTCAGTAAATCAACAATTTAATTATTTCTGAAAATAATTGAATTCTTGAATAGAATTTTATTAAAACTTTTTTAAGTAATTGAATCCCTGCGACAAAATTTATTATTTCTACAAGTAATTGGATTTTTGCAAAATTTTAAAAAATAAGTGACTTTTGAAGAAGAATTTTATGAAAATTGTATTTTAAAATAATTTAATTATCCCTGGAATTCAATTAAAATTGTATTTAAAATAATTGAATTCCAGGGAAAATTTCATTATTTATAAGAATAATTGAATTCATGAATTGGGTTTTATTAAAAGTTTTTTAAATAATGGAACTCCTGTGAAAAATTCAATTATTTTTAAAAATAATTAAATTTTCTCGGAGAATTTTTACAAGATTTTTAAAAGTAATTGAAATTTTCGAAGAAATCAATTAAAATTGTATTTAAAATAAGTGAAATCCTGATAAGAATTTTATTATTTATAAAAAAATAATTGAATTTTTTACGAAGATTTTTATTATTTATAAATTAATTAAAGAATTTTATTACATTATTTAAAATAATTGAATTCTTTATAAAAGTCAATTATTTTCAAATTTTTTTATAAATACTTTATGAATAATTAAGTAATAATTAGGTATCGAAATTATTTTCATTTTCATTAATAATTATTGAAATTATTTTTTTTATTAATGAAATTAAAGTTGAATTTTAATAAATTTCGATTATATTTTTGAAAAATTTATTAGAAAATTAAAGATTATATTTCAAATTATTGGATTTTAAACAGTCTTCTCGTTATTTTTTTATTTTTAGTTAAAAATAATTTACCCAAAGGTGAAGAGTTTGTTTCGTAGGATGTTTTAAAAAATCCCACGTAGAATTGGCAATTTGAATACAAGAATCTTCATATTCTAAAGCACTCCAATCGATTATTGATTTTAAATCGTTTCTTTCGGAGACTGAGACGTGAAAAAGAAATCCAAAGATTACAAAAGTCCATTTTGACACCATGCCTAAAATCTGTAAAATAAAAAAACACTTTTTTATTTTTTAATTTCTTTTTCTGTATTTAATTAATTAATTATAAATAAAAAAAACATTTTTTTAAATTTCTCTTTCTTTCTTTAATTAATTAATTATAAATAAAAAGAAAACATTTTTAAAAATTTTTGTTTCCTTTCTTAATTTTTGTTTTTTATATTTATTTTTTTAATTTCATTACTTAATTTTCCAAACGAATATATTACAAAACAAAGTTACGTCCCAAAATTTCAAATGAATGAAATTTCTTTCAGAATTTTAATTTTATTATAAAATAAAATTGTGTTAAGTATTAAAAAAAAGTTATAAAGTTCCAAAATATTTAATTTTTTTGATTTTTAATTATGTTGATTTTTCTAATTAATTTAAGGAATTAAAATAAATAATAATATTAATTAATATTTGTATTTTGTCTATTGTCGAAAAAATATATTTGGTTCATTTGAACTTTCTGAATTTTTGGAACTGTATACAAATTTATTTGATTTGAACATTTTTTTTTATTTAATTTAGACTTAATGATTGTTAATTAAAGTTAAAAATAACGAGCCTAGTGAAATGAAAAAAAATTTCTTCTAGTCTGACCAATAAATATTCGAATGTCATTTAATTAAGGACAATTGTTTGCAATTGAACGAAATTAAAAGAACTTTCTCACCGGCTTTACACTTGCAGATATTAACTATATATATATGTTTATCGTCTTGGCTGCTTTTAAGACAATCAAGAATCATTGTCGAATCTAGAATGGTTAAATTATTGTTTATTGGGTTAATGTCAGTTGTAAAATGGGAAACAAGGTCATTATATTTCATGTGTTTATTTACAAACATTCGTCGCAAATCTTTTTAATATAAATAAATAATAAATATTTATTAAATATTATTAATTTTATATTTATTTGCTAAGCTCATGAAGAATAAATATTTATTTTTTCATTTATTTATTTATTCAAATTCATTTATTTATTTAAATGTTAATAAAAAAAATTATTACATTTTAACTATTTATTAACGAGGATTTTTTATTTTAATTTTTAAAAAAATTATTTAAATTGTTAATTATTTAAGAAATAAATAATATAAAAAACCTAATAAAAATTCTCAACAAATAATGAGGAACAACTTTTAAAATTATTTTTCACAACAAAACCCCGCAACAAAAGTTACAAGTATTAAATTTTTATTTAATAAGATAATAACAACCGTTACATAATAATTTGATGAATGTATAAAAAAATAACAATCAGGCATTATTTGTAATTTTTAGAAAACTACCGCTAATAATAGGATAAGTATACTATCCTCATTATTTAAAAACATTGTTTCCAAGTAGATTCTTTTTAAATATTTTTTTTCTTTTTGAAATTAAAAAAAAATTGTCTTCATTAAATACGAAAAAAAGACTAATCAAGTTTTTGTTGAACAATTAATTATTATGAGCAGTAAAATGTGATTTCCTGATTCGTTTGAATTATCTGGCTTTGTTAATTTGTCTGATAAAAAATATTAATTTTTTTTAATAACATTATGAATAATTAGTTAGATTGTCTAATTTTAATTAATCATACGCATTATATATACAGTTATTCGAGATTTGAGCAATGTACAAAAATTAAAAACGAGCTGATAAATTTTATCTAAATAATGGCTTACTGCTTTTATTATTCTTATTCAATTGACAAAATAATTAAATACTTCTTATGTAATATTTCAGTGATTTCAATCTTGCGCTGTGACCAATTATTAGTTATTAATAAATAGTAATTAATAATTACTAATTAATTATAAATTAACTAATTAATTATAAATTAAATAATTAATTATAAGTTAACTAATTAATTATAAATTAACTAATCAGTTATAAATTAACTAATTAATTATAAATTAACTAATCAGTTATAAATTAACTAATTTGTTATAAATTAACTGCATAAATTTACTAATGATTTTTTAATTAACTATATATAAATTAACTAATAAAATTAACCAATTAACAATTAAGCAACTAATTAATTAATTATTAATTAACTAATATGGTATAAATTGCCTAATTGATTAATAGTTAACTAATTAATTGTATAAATATACTAATTAGTTAATAAGCAACTGTAAGTCAATAAAATAATTATTAATAACTATATAAATTAATTAAATTATTAATAAATGACTAATTAGTTATAAATGAAATAATTAATAATAAATTAAATAATTAATTTATAGCTAACTAAGTGACAATATAAATTAACTTATTAGTTAATAGTTAACTATATAAATTAACTAAATTATTGATAAATAACTAAGTATTTACAAATTGACTAATTAATTAATAGTTATGTAATTAACTATATAAATGAACTAATAAAATTAACTAATTAATTATTACTTAGGTAATTAGTTAATTTAATTTTAATTAGTTAATTAACTATGTAAAGTAACTAATAAAATTTACTAATTAAGTGTAAATCAAATATATAAGTTAACTAATTAGTTCATATTGTTAATAATTACCTAAGTAAATATTTGAAAAGACTAATTAGTCATCAATAAATAGTAACTAATAATGATGACTAATTTATTAATAATTAACTATAAATAAATTAACTAATAAAATTAACTAATTAACTATATTTAAATTAACAATAAAGTCAACTAATTAACTATATTTAAATTAACTAATAAAGTTAACTAATAAAATTATGAATTAACTATATATAAATTAACTAATAAATTATGAATTATAACTAATTAATTATTAATTAATTAACTAATTAACTAATATAAATTATCTAATAAATTATGAATTATAACTAATTAGTTATAAATTGACTAATTTATTAACAGTTAACTAATTAATTATGTATATATAAATTAACTAATTGACTATGAATCAAATAATATTGAAATATAAATAAAATAAATTACATAAGTTAATTAATTAACTAATTAATTATTAACTTAATAATTATTTTTAACTTATTAATATTTAGGGATCAATCACTTATTACATCACAGGCCTAGAAGGGGGGGGGGGTTTAAGTTTTGTGACGATTTAGTGACGGTTATTAATGAACTGATTAATTAATGATTAAGCAATTTTGGGGAATAATGAATGAAAAAAATGTAAATGTAACAATATTTTTTTTTATATTGACAATTATAATAGTTTCGCTTCCAAAGAAATGGCAAGTAATGAAACATAAATGTTAAAAGCGTTTAAATTAATGTCCGTTATTTCCATCCACGTTCTCGTGAAACGTGTATAACCTTTAGCCTATATAATAATAAAAATTACATCTCGGAAATTTTTTTTTTTCACATGAATTAAGACATTCTCAAGAGTCTATAAGATTATGAAATTTGCCAAAGGAAAAAAATATTTTATCGTTAATTTTATTATTAATAGATAGATTTGTAAGTAAAAAAGCTGAGCTTTGTTAATTAATATTCATATTTGTTCTCGAGAGATAATTGTTTATATAGAATGAAAAATGAAAATTTAAGTTGGATTTAAAAAATTTAATATTGAATAATTATAAAACGTTTATTTTATGTAATAGAAAAAAAAATTTGTTTGATTCAAATAGCCAATTACTTGACTATTATAAAATAAATATTTACTTAAATCAAATAATTTTTATTTGAACCAAATAAATTTTTTTTGAACCAATAATTTCGGTATTTGCAGCAAATACCATTTAATGGGCTCGAAAATTATTTCACACAAATAAATATTTATTTGATAATAATTGTTTATGATTATAATTTAATTTTTTATAGTTATTTATTTAAATCAAATAATTTTTTTCATTGTATTTCATAATTCATGACCAAATTAAAAATTAAATAGCTATAATTACGTACTAAGCGTAATAATTTATTTATAGACAGATTAGTATAGTATGAAACTGTTTTTGTTGAATAATGTTTTCAAAATATATTATTTTCTATATTCAAATTCTTGTTTTAAGCGGAAAATTTTGGTAAATTTTTTTCTACTATACTTTTTTGATAATTTCTGTTTGATTATTTTTCGTATTAGATTTTTAATTATACTTTTTAGGAAATGATTTTTAGAAGACGAATTTGAAAACAAGTTCTTTGCATTAGTAATTCAGGTCAAAGGCTTTATGTTATGCACGAAAGCTTGAGCAGGATGAGTAACATATAGGAAAAATTGAACGTGTTCTCTAGAAAGTAAAGAATATCTTATAATAATGATCATGAAAAAATTTATTTTAATTAATTTTTAGTCTTTTGATATTAGTAATAATTAATAAAATGGTTATAAATAGTAAATATAAATTAGCAAGTGCTAAATATGAATACAATTAATTAATAATAATTAGTGGGTAAATATATAAAATTAATTGATGATAATTAATTAAATTGATAATAAATAATTAAATTGAACAAACTTAAATTGATATTAATTTATTAACAACAAAATTTTAATAGTTAGCAAAACTGTTTCATATAGCCAGAGAAAAATTTTATTTAAACCAAATATAATTTATTTGAGTTAAATAAAAAAGTATATTTGTCTCAGAGCCAACTATACGTTATATATTTGTTTCAAATATAAATTTTATTAGATATAAATAAATCTTTTATTTGAACCACATAAAATTTTATTTAAACCAAATAAAATTTATTTGAAAGAAATGAAATTTATTAGAAACAAATAAATTATTTGATTATTTTCAATAAAAATTTTATTTAACACAAATAGAATTTTAATTTTGTTTCAAAGGAAAATTTCATTCGACATTAATAAAATTTTAATTTGAAGCAAATAATAAGTGACAAGGAAAATTTTATTTGCACTATAAAAAATTTTGAAATATTTTTGAGAAAAATTGAATTAATTTGCACTCTCATAAAACATATTGTGAAGAAATCTCGAATGCTGCCGTTATTATCTTTTTATTAATTAACGTTACATAAGAATCAAGTAATTGAATTAAATCAGAGATTGAGGAGAACGTTGATTTCTAAATTCTCTTAGGCCACTGAACTATGGACAATGTCGTTCCTTAAACTTCCACAGGATTTTTGAAATGATTTTCTCTCCAAATTTTTGAATTAATGAAAATTGAGCCTTTTAATTAAAATATTTTTTAAGAAATTTTAGTAATTCTTTTACTAAAATTAAAAAATGTTTTCTACGCTGGAAAAAATTTATTTTATTCAAATAATCTATTACTTGTCTATTATCAAATAAATATTTACTTGAATTAAATAATTTTTATTTAAATCAAACAAATTGTATTTCAACCAATAAATTCAGTCTATTTGAAGCAAATACCATTTAATTGATTTAAATAAAAATTATTTTATTCAAGTAAATATTTATTTACATAATAATAGACAAGTTATCGGTTATTTAAATCAAATACATTTTTTTAAGTGAATAATAAATAATACAAAAAATATAATAATAAAAAGCATAATTATATAACTAACTAAAAAAATAATAAAATAATATATTATCATATTTTTATTAAAATGACAAAAAACTTAATTATTTTCCTCTTTTGTTAAGAAACGAATTATTTTATTATTAGTTATTTATTGAGTTTTGAGAAAATAGTTTTGTTTTTTAAAAATGTTTTTTCATTTTTCTTCATTTCCTATTTTTTCGATAAAATTTTAGCTTATAATGAATGATGTACATTTGGTGTACGTTCTTTTGAATTATTATTTAGAAACTTGATGATTCAAATGAGAGAAAAAGTTAAAA